AGAGAGAGAGAGAGAGAGAGAGAGAGAGAGAGAGAGAGAGACTTTTTTTTGAGTAAGTACTTCTTGGGAACATTTGTTGGCAAAAACAAATTGTTGAATTTTGCCCCCAATTCATTTCATATTTCACCGTTGGGCCATTTCTCGATTTATACGTGTCATCCTTGCGCAAGGGCCATGCTAATCTTCTCTGTATCATTCCAATTTTATCGGATGTCCCCGAAGGGACTCATATTTCACCGTTGGGCGAGTTCATGATAATGCACGAAAATTTTACAGGTAGGTGTGGATCTATATTAATATTAGAAGGTCTGAATTTATTAAAAATGTCAAGATTTTCCGTTTAAAATATATCGCTTATTAAATATATATTTTTTTATTTTTTTAATTATTTTATTTTAATTTTCCTTCTAGTATTTTTTTCTTTATGGTCTGTGATGAGATTTTTATTTTATTTATTTATTTTTTTTTTTTTTTTTGTAGATAATATGTGTAAGATTTTGATTTTGGTAAGAAGTTTCAAAAACAATATCTTGATGTTCTAAGCAAGCGAAGAAAATAAAAAGGGAAGATATATTCTCTTCCTCTCTTATTTATTTAAGTTTAGAGACTATCTTGTTAAGTATGATAAGTTTTCATTAGTATCAAATAGATTTAGTTGAAGATGTCATTACCATTATGTTTGTTTTGGTTATGTGTACGAGATCTCGCATTTAAGGAAAAGAAGAAGCTGATCAAGGAACAATCTGCAAGAAGAAATCGATTTCCACTTATGAAGATCTCAGTCATATGTTGAAGTTTTAAAGAAGTAACGAAATCGACTCCAAAAAGAAGGAAGATTGAAGATTTCTTACATTGAGAAGATCATATATATAACTACACAAAGACTCAACAGAAGGCTGCTAAATTATTTGGAATTTATTACATTCGTAGACTTTATTGCGTGGGTGATTTTATTATTGGAGTTTTTATTGTATCCAATTTTTTAGCGTTCTTACACCACTGAACAATTGTGTTTGCTTTTTGTTTTCACAAACACTTTTCATACTTAGAGATTAAGTATTAGTATAGTCGGGAGAAATCCATAGCTATTGCGAAGTCCACGTTCGTGGCTAGAGGATTAGTTAATATAGTTGGGTATAGTGTTGGCTAAACAAGAAAGGAGTTCGAGTCTTGTATGTCTAAATTGTACTTTGTGCGCGCAAACTGGTTTATTAATAAAAGAGCTCTTAGGGGGTAGTGGGACGCTCCCTAAAGAGTTTTTTTGTTTCCGCTTTTATTTTTGGTGTTCGAACACACCTACTGTACTCTATTATACTCCCCACATACGTTCCATTTAGTATTAGAGCGGTGTTTTTGTTCTAATCACATGATAAAGATTCAAGTTTCTTTGAGTCGAGCAACATAAACCACGACTGCTTGTCGATTCTGTGTCCTCCGTACCTTGATGGATTCAATTATTCGTATTGAAAATCCATGATGACAATCTTCTTGCGATCTTTAGGAAGAGGCACTTGGAAAATTATTGACATGGGTTGGACCTTGCCTATGATGGAGAATTGCCTATGATGGAGAAGCCTCTTCCTCAAAAAAAGAAATCCTCTTCAATTGATACAGTCATTCTCAAGTTGGTAAAAAATCCAAGAAATCTTTGGTCTGGAAATGAAAAGCAAGAAGAAGAAGCTAATTTTTCGTGTTATCTATGCAATAATGTCGGCAGTTGATCCTACCCGTCACAAGATGATCATTAAGTGTTCCACCGTACGTGATGCACGAAAAATTCTTGAGAGGCAATTTGAAGGGACTAATATTGTGATCTCCTCTCTTTTTGTAGTTGTTGGGAGGAAGAAGATGAATAGTGAAAGAAAAAAGAAAAAATCCCCTCTCATTCTCATATATATACACCCCCACCTTTTTACAAGTGGGTGAATAAAATAAATAAAAAATAGTACAACATTATTTAGTATGAGATAATCCTCGTGGGACCCGCTTATGACTCTTGACGGTTCTGATTGACATCCATCTTTTTGGCAATTGTGGCGTATTCGCCATCTGGGGACCCTGTCGGCTTCTGGTTGATCAGTATCGAGAACCTGTTTGTATATTTATTTATTGCGTATTTTCAACTCCTCGGTCATTGGTCCTTACTTTATTATTTTACTTATCGTTATTTAATTGGAGCCAAATTGGGTATCAACACTTAGTGAAGTGGTCTCCGAGGCAACGCAGGTACAAAAACTCGCGAGAATTCTACCAAAAAGGTTTCGTGAAAAATTCACTACGTCGGAAAGCTTCATGAGAATCCAACCTCTAGAGATATATGATTTACTTGGAGATTTGCGCACCTTTGAGATCTACTATGGTTTTGATAATGTGACGAGCAAAGGCATTGGCTTGAAAGTCAATGTTCTAACACAGACTGGAGAGGATGAAGTCTCAGATGAATTTGCTTTTGATGCTGAAAGCATTTCCGAGGCTCGAATTGTTCTTACACGCAACTTTTCCTGGCTAAAGAATGAGAAGAAAACATTTTAAGGGAAAAAGCCATTGGTCTCAAGCAAGAATACCTTTCAGAAGTCTGGTGAGCGACGTTCGAACATACATGCTCCAAATAATCAAAATCAAAACACATAAGTTTGGTAAACGACGTTCGAACATACATATTCCAAAGATCAATGTCGTGAGTGCAAAGGATTTGGGCATTTTCAAGATGACTGTCTCAACTTTAAGAGAAAGAACAAAACTTACTATGGCACGTGAGATGATGATTATGACAAGGACACAGAACAAGGAGAAGGGTATGAGTACTCTAACAATTTCACCATATGTTCTCTCAAAAATTTTGCGTGCCTCACCCCTTCTGTCTATATCACCGATGTGGATTATGACACGGATTCTTACACTCATGTTGCGGCGACTCAGAACCTGAAAAATTCTCTGACCCTGCAGAAAAAGATCTTTCCATGCACTAGTATACCGCCGAGAAGTGCATTGTAGTTGGTAATGTTACCAGGAAATATCAAACTCAGAT